AACTGCAGTAAATGAACGAGAAGATCCTGATATTTCCTCATGGAAAGAGTATTTGGCAAAAGTTTTGTACAAAAAAGGTATACAGAGATCATTTTTGAAACATATCATAGTATGGATATTTTTTAAATTCAAGTTTGTTTCATCAAGGTACTATGAAAAAATGCAAATCCAAACTAGCCAAACTTACAGCAGCTGCGGAATTAACATCTGTCACTGAAACAGAGTCAGAAAATTATACATCACATCCAACTTCCAACAAACCTAAAGGCTACGAAGCACCAAGTTCTGCAAAATCTGATCATATCAGTAATAAAGAAAATATACCACTTGCATCACAAGTAGGACATAACTTTTGATACTTCAAGATATATATATTTGATACTTCACGATTCTAATTTTACTTTATTAAAATATATTTAATGTTTGTTTTGTCTTTTGTAGCAAATGGACAATGATGATTTTGATGATTTTTTAAATTGCAATGATAGTGATACTAACGCTATCACTCAGGAATCTCAATCTGTTCAGTCAACTTCCATCAATTCGCAAAGAAAAAGAAAAATCGAGCATCTCGATAATCGTAAATATTAAAATAATAATTTTGTTACTACATTTTAATACTTTATTTGGTCTATATATTACTCTTATAGCATACATGTGGCATAAATTGTAAAATATTTCCAAATAATTTAACTATTATCGTAAGAGACCTAATATTTTACATATTTATACACAATAATACAATATTAAGATTTATTTTTTATTTTTATTATATTAGAATTATATTACATTCGTTCTAGATCAGTTCAAAGTTGCTCTTATGAAATGGATGATACGAATTGAAAATAATCAAAGGGAAATAAAAGCAACTCTAGAAACATTACAACTTGGATTCAATAAAGTTCCTTCTATCAGGAACCCAATCATGAAAAAATTAGGCTTACCAGCATCATCAGTAGAAATTCTCTTAAATGTGAATGAAATGCTTGCAGTTGAAGAGAATTTTAAAGATTTAGTAAGTAAACTGCTGCAAAAATATAGTTAAAAACAGTTGAAATAGAAATAATATCATATAGAAGTTAAATTAAAATATATATACGTATGCATTCTTATAACGTAGATAGTATTAATTTTTAATTGTGTAACAGGTAAATATTTTAAAGGCACAAGGAGGTGCGAATTTATCCGAAATGTGTTCAAGAATGATGGCTACTATTTTAACAGATGAATGCGGAACACAATTGGTATGGGTTGGAAGGCTGGAAAATACTAAACCCGATTCTAAAAAATCTTTTAAAAAAACGCTTACCAATATATACACTGCACTGCTTGGTAAAATTATGATATTCAAGATTATGTTTTGATAAGAAATAATTAGACATCGAATTTTTCATATCCAGATTGGTGAAAAAGAGCAATTAATAACATAAGATTATGTTATTTATAATATCCAACATATTTATACCTAACATATGTTGCAATATAAATATGCTGGATAAATATTATAAATAACATAATCTTAGTTATTAATTGCTTTTTTTCACAAATCAGCATATGAAAAATTCGATGTCTAAAAATAATAAATTCTATATACTGTTTAATATTCTTTGATATCTATAATATCAATATATATACATAGTATAATATACTTTTTATTTAGTTTGTATATAACATCAATATTAACGCTAATTATATTTTTATAGATGCTGCAGCTATTGCAGATAGATGGAACTCAACAACGAAAAATATTGAAATTACATTTGGCGGTTGGTTAATAAAAGCAAAGACAAGAAAAGAAAGAGCTTTGGCAAAAAAATAACATGAAGTATTATTTAAGCTATTTTCTTGTTTTTCTTTGTATGGCTTATTGAACCTATTTTATATTTACATTATAATTATCAAACCTATATGTGATATATTGTATTAAGGCATTACTTTTTACATATGTAATTTTAATATTATTTTAAATCGTTATTATGTTTGATACTCACAATCAATATAATTTGTTTTTTTTCGTACAATACAGCAGAAGTTTGTATGCTTATATAATTTATATGTAACAAAAAGGTACAATTAAAAAGTTTTTATACTAGTAAGTATTAGTAAAAGTACTATACAGGGTGTCTGATGCAAAAGTAGCCACTTTGCAAATAGCGGTAGATTGGGTTAAACTAAGGAGAAATATCATGTACCGAGGTACAAAGTAACAATAGTTACCGACAAAGAAATTTATACGTTTGAGCGAATGAGGATGCAGGAGACGGTAGGCCGGACTCGGGAGGCATTTAAGAAAATCGATCGATGAGCGGGAGGTGGAGCGACGCGCGAGATACACCGTGGTGGGAAAAAACCTTGGTGCGGCGGGGAGCGCGGCGCGGGCGGCGAGCGCGGCAGCG